TCTGAATGCAGCACAACAGAGCTCACACTTTAATTCAGTTCAGCTTTGTCCCTTCAGTGATTCCCGTCTTCTTTTCAAAAAAAAAAAAAATCCTTTCATGTTTGTCCTCTCCCTCCCTCCATTCCCTCTATCACCTTAGTAATATAGAGTTAATGAGGGCCGGGTGAGGTGATCAATCCCATTTTCATCCTTATAGACGGCACATAAGCCCCCCCCGCCCCCTCCCACCTTTCTGCCTCTCTCTACCACTCCACTCCCCCACATACACACAGTCAGATGCCTTTCTGTACCCCAGGGGGTGTCACTCTATATCACAGGGGGAACTGTAACAGGATTTCTGCAGGATCTCGGGTCAGAGAGGGCGGCCATAGCTAACTGAATAAGGAGAATGAGAAAATCAGATAATCTGCAATAAAAACTGATCTATTTCCTTATTGCACGCAGACATGGCAGTGTTCCCTACCTGCGACGAAATCGACAGAAAATCACAATATGCCCATAATAGGATTTATTAGTCGGAAGCAAAAAAATGAAAAATGGCCAAACACACAGGCACATCATCCCTCAGCACATGTTCACACACATTGTTCGCCTCTTTGTTGCCCACTGTTACTGAAAGAAGGAAACGGGTGGTCGCAAAAAAAAAAAAAAAAAAAAAAAAAACCTCCACAAGCAATAAAAGTGTCACCCTCCAAATTTAACATGAGGTTGCACTTACATACACATGTGCATGCAAAGTTACACGCGAAGAAACATGAGTACCACCTACACACACTCAGGCAGTGACTATCACTGCAGCAGGAGCAGAGACAAAGACTCAGCTTCTTACAGAGGGAGAAATGTGGTTTGCAAAATAGAGGTCTGTTGCACAAAAACACACTCCATTTGCCATTTTCTTAATTGTTTTTTCTTTTATTGTTTTTTTTTTTTTTTTTTTTTTTTTTTTTTTTTTTTGTCTAGTGTACGGACTGAACCTCCACTAAATCAGACATGGTTCTGCTTCACTGTCTGGTTTTGCTGTAGTGTGCAGCCTGTGAGGATGGATTGTGGTAGAGATGGATAAAGGGAAGACAGATGTGCAGGAAATGAAAAGAGAAATGAGACGATAATAAGATAAGTTGGCAACAAAAAAAAAAATAAGGAGGAACTGGAAGGGAGATTAGCATGATTTGAAATAAACTGACTACAGTCCGGAGGAGAGAATTAGAGGAAAGGGAGAAGACTTGTGTTTATTGGTTGATTGTGCCCTGCAGCTGAAACACAGACTAACATACATCCAGACATGGGGTGGCATGGAGGAGAGGAGAGAAAGGGTGTCTGTCCATGCTGGTTGCTGGTAGCACCGCATTGTTATTAGCAAAGCCCCTCCGCCCACTACCCTCACTCCTGTCGCAGAGAAAAATGTTAACTCTTGCATGGCTGGTGGGCGAAACTGTATGGGGGGGAGGGGGGTGGGGGTGAAAAGAGGAGAGGGGAAAAAGAGCAATTCATCTCAAATGCAAAGCTGTTGCAGACAAAGAAGGCAATGATAGCGGAATCCTCCGTGGGACCGTAAAAAGGGACTTGCTAAATGCTCACACACGCACTAGCATACACACACACACAAACACACACACACACACACACACACACAGCCATGCAGAGTCAGACATAAAGCAGGGTAAAGTGAGAGACAGCCCCAGACAAAAGAAACGCTGAGTGCAACTTAGACCAGCTGAGTCACTTCTGTTTATTTTAGGAGAATATGATAATAGAAGCAAATGATGCTGCAGAGAGCGAAGAAGGGGGTGGAAAGGAATGGGGGGGGGGTTCTGGTTTGTATTGTAATGTGCAAGTGTGTGTGTGTACATGCATGTGTAATGTGCAAGTGGCAAACCCCAGGGGTGTGGGGGAGGGAGCAAAGGATCAGTGAGAGGTGAGCAAAGAATAGCGTGCGCCGAAGGTCTTGGGGTGGTGATGATGTGCAAGAAAAAAAAAAAGGGGTGGGGGGGGGTTAATTTGAACTGGCTGTAAAAAAGAAAACAGTTTTGGTACAGTGGATAAAGGAGGGTAAGGGAGGACAAGATGGGGCGCAGAACTCCTTCGGGAAATGAGGGAGGAATGCAGCTCAGGTTGAATTCACATATGCTGCTGCTGCTGACGTTTAAGTTTATTTTTGGGAATGTGAAGAAGCCTCAAAAAGAATGTAGATATACAGTGAGGAGATGCATCATAAAAAATGAATGATGTGGATTCACTGGATGTTTCTGTGGCTTTTTACAGTCAAGTTAACTATAGCTCTCACAGCTCTGTCCTCATAAAACTGGCGCGTTTTAAGCTCATTCACAGAGTTGCATTCATTTGCTTAATAAAGGCTGTAGCTTGCTGACTAATATCATTAAAACGACAGAGCACACAAAAATATCCGTAGCACATCGTTTAAACTGACTGCACAAATTCAGCAAATGGATACACAGACACACAGACACACACACACACACACATAGTGGGTGACAGAGAATTTTGTGTGTGTGCCGATTGGTGTGTGTGTGTGTGTGTGTGTGTGTGTGTGTGTGTCATCTGTGGAGGCGTGTCTTTCCGTTCACCCTCTGATGTCCTGCCTGTGACTGCAGGGGAGGAGCTACAACAACAAGCTTATTGCCACCTTCCAGACAGACAAAGGCGGTGTGAATTTGAGAGTGTGTGTTTGCATGTGTGTTGACACTTCATTCACACTGAATTTACACACACACACACACACACACACACACACACTCAACGAACAAGCTTCCACATCCTTGTACCGAACAGAGCGGAGCCTCCTAATTGTTTAATTATGAGTGATCACAACAACTACTATCAAATAACTATTATTAAAATAAGTGCAGCCTCTTCCTCTTTCTTTCCTCCTCTCCTTATTTAACTCCGTTTATTTACATTCACTCTTTTTCAATGTTCACATACACATTAATATTCTAGGATATAAAACCCACTGAGTGTTTTGCCATATCCAGTGGCAAAACACTTAAGTCCAAACATAACTGGAAAGAAATGTTTAGAGGATAAAAAACCTTGCAAATAAAACACATACTTGAGAGGCATACTGACATACTTTTCCTTCCCTCTCTCCTTCACTTCACTTATCATCTCTATTTTCTCCCTCCCTCCTCCTTCTTCTCCTCTGTTCTGTCCTATAAAATGACCTTGAAGGTCGCACCGGTGCGCTACACTCACCGGCTCTGTGACAAACTGTCTTACCTGCAGAAACACACACACACACACACATACATACATAAGCGCCTGAACCCAAGCACATAAATAAAACACACACACACACACACACACATACACACACTGCTGCGAGTGGCTTTCCTGGCAGAGATCTGCTGAATTGATCGGTGTTCAGACATTGCAGAGGTCAGATGTAATGAATCAATCACACATGCATCAGCATCTAGAACAGCAGCTACAGCAGCTACAGCAGACAGCGTAGAGTTACAAGCCAAGGCCACAGGCTCAGCTGCCCTGCTTTGATGCAGTGTCAACCTCCACATTAACATGACTGGGAGGGATTGGCAAGATTTAGCAAAATGGACTGGAATATCCATAGATGTGGGAAGTCTCTGATATCGGGATCGATATTGGCAGCGGACAACCCCAGCAAAACCACACTTCCCACACATATAATATGAGCAAGATCTCAGTGTAGAATCCTGCCGACCACATGTATCTGGGCAGTGCAACCAAAATGCTAAATGATGTAAACTCTCACAGAGTTGCGAAACTGAAAAGGCTGGCAACAAGTACAATAATTTAGTCAGTAAACAAAAGAACTGGAGCACAGTGAGACAGGAAAACTGAGCCGACCACGGTGTCAAGGACAACTTGATCATTGGACACCAATCAATCAGGACAAGAGACAGCTGAGTGTGAAAGACTTGCCCTCGGTGGGCTCACCTTTACTCGATCCATCCTTTCCTGTCGTTCCTCTCCTCTCACTGCTCTAAGAAGCCTAAAGGTGAGAGTGAGGACGTGGGAGTTGTTGCAAAAGTATCTTCGGCACAGAAAAAATACCACAGATATGCATTTGCACAGAAAGTAGTTAGAAGATGGTAAAGAGGAAGTGAGGTCTTTTTATGAGTGCAGCTGCAAGAGAGTGCGACAGTCATGTCATTCATGAAGAGAGGAAAGAGAGAATTAGAACTGAAGCATTTCACAGAATGAAACCACAACCTGTGGTAAATGGTAAAAAAAAAAAAGGTTTCCTTGAAGAATTGATCAAATGATATCTTTATTTCAACTTCACATTCCTCCTGGACTGCTCCTACTCTTTCAAAAAACACTTTTATGAAACAGGAAAAAAAATGGAAAGGAACTTTTTTTTTTTTTTGCCACTTTTGTTTCTTATAACTTGATGCCAGAAGTGATTATAGCTCAAATTACCACAAAACTATTGATAGGAATGAATAAAAAAAATAAATAGTCCCATAAAATCAATACAAATTCCTCCAAACTCTCTTCCTCATCACCTCTCAGTACAGTGGATCATAGCCGGAGTCAGCTCTACATAATCTATACCTGATCATCAGCCTTACCCACAGAGACTTGACCTGCGCCATCCATCCATCACACCAACCTGCTCTTCCCTGTCTGACCTCAGTCTCTCTCCAGCACAGCCACACTCCTCCTCCTTTACTCCACTGCTCCACTTACAGTCAGGTCAACTTCCCCACTGCACTCTCATTTTTCTCCCGCAGAGAAAGAGTGAAATTTCAAACATTCCCTCACAAACTGCGCCGCGCCGCATCGCCCTGCGAAAACAACACGCTCGGATTCCATGTTTTAGCCGAGGATGCTGAGCGAAACCGAGTCAGCAGCCAGACCCAGATTCTACAAGCAACATAACGCGCGACGGTTCTGTAAGAAACCGGTGCATCGTTGCAAATAAAATAAAATAAAATAAAATGAAAACAATAAAATGAAATAAATACCCGAACGGTGTTTTTACTTGCGCGACTTACCTGTAGGTTTGTCTGGTGTTGATTCATGGAAGAATGTCGGTCAGACGCAGGAGTTGCAAAACAAAACACAAGCGTGTCTTTCCACTCCCTCCTCTCTCTCTCTCTGAGTGGCAGAAACAGTGCAAGGAGAGAGAGAGAGAGAGAGAGAGAGAGAGAGATGCTGCGGACAGGAGGAGGCGGAGGAGGAGGAGCGGTGCTGATGCTGATGCTGCAGCTGACATCTCTCAGGGCATCCTCATCCTCACGCTCAGGCGCCGGCTCTTTTCTCCTTCAACACGTTTGCGCTCTCTGCTGGATCGTGAGAGAAGCCTGGTGATGAAAAATCTGTCCACGCCATTAAAATCACCGGAATTCATCATAAACAGCAACTAGATGGATTTTTTATTTTTTATTTATTTATTTATTTTTTTTGGAAAAGCTCGTTTTATTTACAGGAGTTATGCATTAAACATACAAACTTTTAACAAAAAGGGAAACAGAAAAGGAAACAAGCAAAAACGACATAGGAAATCTTCACTTATAGCAGTAAATGTCTAATATTAAATCTACCAGTTGGTACCTGGTATTATAGTTTTTGAGTTTAGTGGGATTGGACGGAAGTTCTTGTTTGTATAAACATGACATAATCCATGAGTTGCTGTCAGCCTCTCATTCACAGTATCCCTGGGTCCTGACACTAGGCCACCAGCAGATGGCGCCAAAATATATACATTTCATGTGTATATAACATAGGCAACATCTGTCCTCTGTCTCTTTGTTAGACACAATCATATGTCAGACTGTTGTTTAACATTTTAACAGAGAACTGGAAGCCATTCTGCTCTGGCCTATTAATAAACTACAGGCGTGCATCTGAAAAATAAACATAACACCAGGGTGCATCTTGACAACAAACAAACAAACAAACAAATAAACATAACTCAAGGTCCACTTACTAACTTTTTTTTGCAGCTATCAGGTGCATCTCATGGTCTCTTCCTGAGCAGATAGTTCGTTCATTTTTTATCACCTAGCCAACAGTAACTATGGGTACATTGACAACTGAGCAAGCTCAATCTGCTGAAGAAGGCTGTGAGATGCAGTTGAAAGCTTAATAAAAAGCTCAGGTTTTTGCAAGGCCATTGATGAATTTACACGCTCACCACAAGGCACATTTCTGACAGTTATGAAGTCTTGTTTTTAAAAAAAGTTGCGTGAACAGATGCAGCAAGAGTGAGATAATGCTCCTCGTCAGGGAGGCGATGTTGAGTAAGGAGAAAACTGAGCCAAGGTGACAAATAACAAATAACAAAATGTTGTTTTTTGTGCTTTTTTAACAAAATGTACACAAATTCAAACACACTGGAAACCAACCATGACTGATCCAAAAAAGAAAAAAAGAAAAAAAAGGGCAACAAAAAGAAAAAGTCTGAGAAAGTGATGTAATCACAGCAAAATGACATAAACGTGAGGCAGCCGGTCATCAACACGGGTGGATCTGAAACATCAAAAGCCTTTATAATGTGACATCCGTTATGAAAGGAGGAAGCTAAGGTCTGTAGAGTTTTAAAGCAGCATCAAAGGAGAAGGAAAGAAGCTCCTTCTTTTATCTATTTATATAGTATGTGTACATACACTGTATTTACCTCAGAAGTAAACACGAAGGTTTGGCACGACATGTAGCAACAACAAGCACTGATTTTCCCAGAAGTTACACATGAATCCCTTTGTACTGATTCAACAGAAAATCAAATGTAAATGTCATGCAGAAAAAAACAAAACAAGTACAACTGTGGATATTCACAACTCCCAAGGAGACTATAAGCTAAGACATGAATCAGTTGAGAATAAATGAGGACTGTTATGTCATAACAAGTTGAATAGTTAGATTTCTTTGAAACAAATACAAGTATGGGAAATGGGCTTTGACTGCATGTTTTTGACATTAAAAAGTGACTAAACAAGTAGATATTGTAGTGCTGTACTGCTTAATGTAACATTTCAACAGGGTATATTACTGTGTTCAGTCCATAAATGACAAGAACTCTGGAAGAGTCAGTCATGTATGGCTAATACTTGAAGTCGTAACTGGATGTCACACATTATTATTACACTTGTACTGTGAAATGCTGCATTGCAGGCAACCCACTATGACCCCAGAGCACTTGTTTCTGCCACAGTCATGCCAATATCCCATATTTCTAATTGTATAACTTCTGTTAACATGGCATTACTGGTTAGATCAGCCACAGGACAAAAGAAGGTGACAGCAGTGATTTTTGCCAATCCCGAGGATACACAGTTTCAGTTGCGCTGACCGTGTAAACACAACATAATTGACACAATGTTTCGGCACAAACAGAAGCAACAAAGCTAAAGAACCTACAGACAGACGCTCCTACGTATGCACAAAAGTCATGAGGCTTTCAAAATAACAAAAAGCCCTTTCTCCAATTTACAAATAATTTACTGCAAGAAATATACACAACATTTTATATACACGATTCCATTGATTACACATATACTCTGTTGTAAGGGACTGCCAAAACCACAGTGAACGCACTTAAGGGTTAAAACTAAAATGTTGGTGATATGATATTAATGATAAGTGTTAATCAGCGCAGAGGTCTGTATTTAAATGATGAATTTCCCTTATGTTAAAGGAAAACTACACTGAGTTTGGACATTAAAGTCTGTTTACAGGTCTTGGGGAGCAGTACTGCACATGAAGTTGTATAAAGAATTTTGTGGCCCTGGGGGGAGTTGGAAAAGTTTAAACTGCTTCAAGTGATGTCACTTGAGTCAGCATTGGTTGGGTCTGAAGACGACAAGTTTGAAAGAGGGAGAAATCTGCAGGGTGTGGCTTTTGAAAGAAGTGAGCTTACCAGACCTCCGAGGCTCTACTCCTCAGCCCTCGTTGCATGAGGCTAGCGGCTTCAGGCTACATTAGCTGCACACCTGAATCTCCAACCAAACTGTTCGTGGTTGAGTTGCATTTTGGGTAATGTAGAAATCAGCGGAGTACTCTTTTAGGTTTACGAAAAGAAAAAACATACCTACAAGCATGAGATACTTTAATGACAACAAAAAAAAAAAAAAAAAAGGAAATAAATGTACAAGTGTGGTGAAATTCTATCTGATCCAATTCTTCATAGGCTTTTACTTAATTGTAAATATTAAGTTGAATCAGATTCATAATCTGAAAAACACACTGGAAATTACCATATTTTACGAAGCGGCTAATAGAAATACATTCATAAACATAAGAAAATGTGTAAAATAAATTGAGAATGAATACATTAATCCGAATTGAACATCAAAAAAAAAAAAAAAAAAGTTGGCCTGTTTTATTTTTTGAGAAGATTAACTAAATGTTACAAGCTACAGATGCAAAAAGACACAGCAGCCAGCACTGTGAAAATCCGCTATGATCTAATCTTACATGACATTAACTGGCACTCAGCAACTGCCAATGCCTACGCCTGATGCTCAACATGTGTCAAGATACACAAATCAGATTTCATATTTTTTTTTACCGAGAGTATTAAAAATCCCAAATAAGAGAACATATTTTAACATCTGTCTTTATCACCGTGAAGAGTATGTAAAATCAGGTATCTAGTCACAAGACTTGCCAAGTTAAAATGCTCCTGTTAGGCTTCAGACTGAATCACTTCCTTTGAATCTCTGTTTCTCAGTGTAAGGAACTGTCTGGCGGGATATTTCGCTCATACAGCAATTCCTGCATCATAATTTGCAGCCAGATCCATGACCTCTGATTGGTCACGGCTGCTTCTTGCTTAGACATATGCCTGTCTTTTCTTTTTGCAAGTAAAAGTCTGGGACCTCAGGTGATATCAACGCAATCCTTTGGACTTAAAGCTGGACACGTGGAAAGTGTAAGTTAAAGCTTCCTGCTGGCCCAATGTTATGTGCAGCCATTCGACTGACCGGCCTCTTCTGCTGGCAGACAAGTGTAATAACATCACTGACTATTGTGCAAGCTCCAACTTGTCAGTGAGGACTGTTAGAGCAGCATTTCAACATCAGTTACATAAGAGTTTATCAAGTTTAAGAGAATGTAGCTATCGGTATCAGTCTGTGTTTAATATTGATGTGTGTTTTCTGACTTTTCAGACATATGTAGATATATACAGTAGTTTTCATTTTTTAACAGAAAAAAAGACAAAAATTGTATCACTGTAGAACTGTCAGGCACCCAGACAACAGCTGTTACTACATGTGCACACAGTCCTATTGCGGGTAATGTAACCCAGACACTCCAAAGAAGTAACTACGACCCAACATGAAGAGAAACAAATATTATGGTTTCGAGGTATCTGTGAGCCTCCCTGAAACACTGCCATGTTTCATGTCTCCAACACGAGCCCCCCACCCACCCCACCCCCTCCTCCAGACAGCCAAGCGATAATGAGCAGCTGAACCTCAAGGCCAAACACAAGGGGTAACAAGCTTATATCACAATCCTCAAATAATAGAACGTGTCATTTATGGCTATAGAAGTTCTGTATAGAAGTATAGAAGTTTTTGCATGAGTATCATCACCAGTTGTCTGTGTTGTCGAAGGGGAACGTCACAGGTCTGTGTATTTTATGTCAAAGTTATTTATCATTTCTTTCCCCTACAAGGAATAAGGCCAGTGAGGGACTGGGAGTTGTCCTGTCAGAAATACTCTTACACAGACAGACTGGCGTCAGGGCCGGTTGAAATGCGTGCAGCATGTTCTAATGCTTCCTACAAGTCTCCATCGTCCTCTTCCCTGGCACTGATTCCATTGTGAAGGAAGGCCTCCTTTTCTGGTGGCATGTCCTCTGACTCGCGGCTGTGCTTGAAGCCGATCATCTCCGTGTCCGGGGACGAGCGGGCCGTGGCGGCCTCAGCGCTGTGATGAATACCATAGCAGAAGTAGATCACGAAACCTGAAAAAATAGAACAGGTAATGTCACTGTAAAATTAAATGATGTTTTTAGGTTGTTGTTTTTTTTGTTTGTTTGTTTGTTTTTTTTAAATTCCAGCCTGTTGTGATGTGAGCTGGTGCCAGCAGACTTTAAATTATTTATTCTATATTCTTAATGTTTAAAGACATGATACAAATATCCGTTCTTGCTTGCAACTACAAAATGATGGAATAATAAGATTACTAAACTCAAGTTAAGTGTCAGTTGTGTGCAGTTAGTCTGAGAGCATCTGCAGTGAAGTATATGAGAAAAAAAAAAAGTCCTTAAACCGGAGACACTCAAGTGACAGGCAAAAAGATTATTTCCTCTTTAGGGGTGAGCACAATTTCTACAGCTACTGTCAGTGTAAAAGGCAAGGTATGATGGGTAGTAACAGAGTATAACTACCTATCGCCATCCAGACTGAAAACCGTATCCAGGTGCCTCTGTCCAACTGCATCATCAGGTAGACGTTGACAAACATGCTGACCACTGGGATGAAGGGCAGCATTGGGACCTAGAGAAATGAAACATAAGCAGCTTGGGTTGAGACGAGTATAAGGGCCAGAGGGTCGTGTTTGAACAAAGCAGTGCCTGAAACTACTTCTTTTAATCCATAGTGTTCTACACAGAGTGAGTCTCTGGAACCAAACCTTGAAAGAGAGTTTTGTCTTGCTCTCAGGCTGCCTCCAGATGATGAAGGTGAGGAAGAGACACACCATGAAGATGATGCTGAGGGCTATGATGTTCCACACGGCAAAGCCCCCCTGCACCGCCAGTATGCTGAACGCCAGGATCAACGCTCCTGCAGAAGGACATTCATTTTCATATTATTTCATGCTCAACTCAAGTGCCACGCAAGTTATGTAAATTCACCCATTTTAAATGCATCTATCGAAATCTTCATCTGGATTCTAAGCAACTAAAGACTCCTGCCAGATTCTTTACAGAAGCTCTAACACATTACCTCCCCACCATCTTATTCCTATTTTTTGTATTTGATCACTGCATGGAAGTAAGTCTGGATCACCCACCCATGACAGAGGCACAGATGTTGACGGTGAAGCCTGACAATGTGGATGGCTCAGGGTTTTCTGGGAACAGCAGGGTGTTGAAGCTGAACCTCTCCTCCACACCGGGCAGGATGCCCATACTGGGGACACTGATGCCGTCGCTCAGCTCCACGTCCTCCTGGGTACTGGCCATCTGATACACCAGACTGGGCTGCTCTGGCTGGTACCTGACACGCACGCACACACACACACACACACACACACAATACGCTGATTTAACATTGCGACTTAACTCTGCATTCACACCATTTAAAACAAGTTGCCTGTGAGTTTTTGGCAATCACACTGTAACGTCATGTTGAAGTTGTCAGTCATGATACTGTACGTCTAGTGCCGAATTAACTGATTATGATGTTTTCAGCACGAATGCTGGGCAGAGCTTCACTGGTTGCTAAGGACAAATATAAATATACTGGAGTGAAGCTGGACCAACTTTGACATGGAAATGACTCTGACAGCATCTCATGCTTATGCCCCCCCCCCAACTAACCTGAGCACCAAGACACAGGCAGCTACTAAGGTGTAGGCCAGCAGCGTCCCTATTGACATCAGGTCCACCAGGTCCTTCAGGTCGAACAGAAAGGCCATGATGGCTTTCAGAGAAGAGAGAGAGAGGGAGATGAAAGCATTTGTTTGACCGTAATAACCTTTGATACAAAAATAATTTAATAATAGAAAGAACCATCATGTTTTCATGATTTTTCAATAAACATTTTCTAAATTGTCACACTCTGGCTTTGTTGTTATTTCTGCCCCTAGTTAGCAGCCACGACTGTTTTCCAACAAAGTGGTCAAGTTGTACTCCTCCTTTGTTTTTGTTAACTGAATTTCCACCCCACCCCCACCCCCACCCCCCACCCCACCCCTCTCTCTATCTCTTCTTTC